CCTGAAAGAAAAAAACCCAAAAAAACCTAATTTTCAGCCTTCCTTTTTACCATGTTTGACTATCTTGTAATCAAATCTTGGCTTCATAGAATGCTGCCACACTGCATCACTACAGATCAACTGATGTATCGAACAAATAAACACAATAATCTTCTCATGATTATTCTATCTACTTTAATACAGGCATTTAAAAGAAAGCTTGAAAACAGATTTGTCTCTTCATAACTGACTTTGAAAAAACCTCCCAATTTTATTTCTCTGTATTGCTTAGAAGTATTTTCTTTCAACAACTCTCAGTTGTAAATTACAAGGTTTAGCACAAATTAAAAAAAGAGAGTGCAAGCAAGAGAGATGCAAGTTGTAAACCCAACAGAAATGTTCACATATTTAGTTTTGATAGCCATCTTGCAAAAGCTTTAAAAAAAAACCCCTCAAAATCAAAATAAGTATCAGATTCTTATATTTTCTTTTTTTTTTTTTTTTCCCCAGAAACAGGAGGTTTAAGGGGATACAGAATAACTTGCAGTCAAACCTACAGAGACGTAATAGGAGTATAGATTCCCTACAAGTAAAACGAGCACCCAAAAGTATTTCATAATTCAGACATGCCATTCACAATACCGAAAGGAGATGGCAGAGGCCTTAAAATGCCTGAAGTCAGATATGGGAATTCCTCTTGCAATAAATATTGTAATAATAAACATTTACAGATTTAGTTATTAAATAAACTCATACAGGTTTATTTTGGCTCAAGAGCCTCACCCTTGTTTGTGTCTCAGCCAGTGACAGCTCAGCTTTAGCCTTGACTTCAGTCAGTAGCTACAAACAGGAGTTTGGGAACTGGAAATTAAAAAGGAGACGTGTGGCTCTACTGTTGCATTTTGTCCTCCTACTTAAGAAACATGTATTGAGAGGGAGAATTAAAGCCACACCACTACCGCTTTTATTTACTACTTTAATTAGCTTCACATGTCCTGGCCACTACAATGAGCTTTTCATATTTGAAAGGTCCCAGGTTACTCCTAGAACTCATTTAAATGCTCAAACTGTCATTGGCACAATGATGTATGTAAAGTTACAGTTCAACTTAGCGCGGATTCACAGGTTCTTAGAGTCTCTCATTACCTTAGACGGCACCCTGTTTAATGCAGGCCCAAGGAGATCATCCAGCAACATTAAGCCCTCATCTTCTGAGTTGTAACATGACTCACGATTCGAAAGGAATGAAGTAAAATTCAGAATAGGAAAGAATTCAGATGACCCATGTGTTTACAGTTCACCCATGCCCCCTCCCCCCGAATAAATACGTGTTTAACAGGCAATCATTATTTAGAAGATGCGAGTTAACAGGAATGCTCTAACTTCACGACTCTAGGACTAGTAGATGACAATTTCCCTCCTTCTGAGAATTCAATCAGTATCTGAGTAGAGCCACACACATTCTTTTTTTACTGTAACACAGATTTCCCAAATGGGATTAGAGCTCCGTTATTCTATGCATTGTGCAATCACAATATCTTCTTGCTCAAAGAACCTGATGATTAAGATAAAACGACACGACTGAGCAAAAGATGTAACTGCAAAGAAACAAGAGAGAACAAAGGCAACAGGCTCAGGCAAAAACACACACTAACTGAAGGTGTATTATTAATTCAAGGATTAGAAAAATACACGGAGTTCATAATTATTTCAAAGTTATGTATTTTAAACTAAGAATTCAGATGAAAGCTTATACTGAAATCTAAGAAAATATGAAGTGAACCCAATGCACTTAACATCTGCCGAGGGATATCATAAAGGAAAATACTTAATTACTTTTAAAATTAATTTGTTTAAGCTGGGACCAAACTGAAAGCTCCCACTAATGGTTATTTGGTGTTGTCCTCTACAGGCAGGTATAAACTGTATAAGCACGCAGAAGAAATGAATAAAAAAGGAGTATCTGACAAGATAGACCTCAATACGTGTATTGCTCCATCCCCTGGGGCTGAACTATACGAAATACATTCATTAACTGAGAAAAAAAATGGTAATTTCATTTCCACAGAGACCAAAATGGCTTCATTTAAATGTAGGCCCTATCACTGACCTTCCTGTGTTTATAGTCTACAAATCATATTAATGAAATATAAGAATAACCAAAAAATCAGTTCAAACCTCATTTCTTCAAACATACTTTATGCATGTGATTTCCATGAGATTGAGTGCTTAAAAGTTTAATAATACCAAAAAGTGTCTATTTCACTGTAAAATGGGGATAACACCACGTTAGCAGAATCTGTGCAGTGAAATATATGACCCAGGTACTCAAGTAATGAGCTGAGCACCCTGAGAAAACACCAGAAACACAGAATTAATTCAGAGTGTCATGGGAGGGTTTGGATAACATGCAGTTAAAGCAGCAACCACACACTCGGTAACATAGGAAATGCAAACCAAAACCAAGTAGCTACTGCACTCCCCTTCCATTTTTAGCACTAAGGAAAAAATAGTGTATGGTTACACAGACTGAGTTGACATCGTATTATCTTACACTGTGCTACATTAAACTGGATTAAACTGGGATTCAAATAAAATGCTGGCGTTTATCATGTATATACATATACCATTATAATTCATCAGTAATTTAGCAACGTCAGTCATGCCTAATACCTGATAAAACCTGAGAGAGATTATTTATTTGGGGGTTTTGTTTTGGTTTTAGCAGGATACAGAGAGAAAAAGAAACAGAGAAAAGCTCTACAAATTACTCATGTGATCTGAGACACAAAACTGTTTTTTCTGGCTTCTCTGTCATACCAGCACTAAAGATTCTGAAAATTGTATTTATTTAGCAATTCTGATGATGATGTGAGAGTAGCATGCATTCCCTCTGCCATGGCTGCAGAGAGCCAAATTGCTAGTAGCTTAGTAAAAGGCTTATTTTGTCACAAAAATAGGTGAGAATGACTTTCAATGTGACAAAAAAATCCCAAGTGGAAAGGTGACTGGCCTACACAATCATTTTTCCTACTACATTTTAACACACTAGCTGTAATTACAATCTCTCCTGAGGGTCAATTTAGAAAACGTTGCCAGTTGTCCAAATCTCCCTCTCTTATGCGTATCTGTAATTATGTGTGAACATTTTCTTATGTGAAATTCATAACATCTGACAGAGTGAGCGTATACACCGAGGTTTGGGGATAGAAGGGAAGGTCAGAGAGGCAAGGGCTTCCCGTTTTTGCTTACTACTGGAGAACAGTAGCTACAAATCCTAAAGAAACTGGCACAAAAAAATGGTTAACTGGAATTAATGTGCTTCTGACCGATATTCCTTTAGGGCACTGATATCAGAGGCCGTTCAGACAAAAGACCAGTTAAGCCACAAAACCTCACCAGCTGCACTTTAGATGAGAACATCCCAAACTGACAAGACCATACTCAGAAGGCTGTTGCTTTATCTATTGCTCTGTGCACACACTGTCTAAGGAGGATTGCCTTCTTTTCCCTTTCCATTCAGCGCAGCTATGTTTTTCCCTCTCGTGGTTCTCTGTGAAGTAAGACTTAGTTACGAGAAGATTAAATAAATCAGTACTGAGGGAGGAGAGATAAGGCTCTGGTCCACTGCATCTTCTAACACCAGCAAGGTAGCAGGCAGTGCTCAGGAAGACATAATGTACTTTTCCAAGTGCACTGTTTCAAGGATTTCCAACTCTTTTGATAGCACGTGGCTGGTTTGCAGAGATCCTCCTTTTCCGTTAGCATCCACATAAAATTCCTGAGGCAGTTACAAATCACTAACAAAGAAATACTGCTAGTGAAGTATTTACAGATACTACCTATTAGGATAATTTAGCTACAGGAAATGAGGAAGAATCCACACCACGTGAAAAACCAGCACATATTTTGGAGAGAAACAGTGGTAAACAGCCCATAGCTGGCAACTGCGGGGAGTATTACTGACCTCAAAAATCTCTAGTTGTTTGTGCTCAGAGACTTGACATTTGAGGTCACAAAATAAATCAGAAGATGAAACAAAAACAAACAAGAAAACGGATTTGCGATCTATTTACAAAAGTTTCTATGGTCCTAACACCAAATAAAGGAACACCTGACTAAAAAAACCCAAACAAACTGAAAAACCTAGACTTTAGTTATTTAAAAAATCTAATGCGAAAAGCTTACACCCACTGACTTTTGCCCTTGAACCCATTTTAAGCTCCTTCAGTGGAGTTTTCCGAGGAGCCCTACAGTGCTGGTTTGTTCGCCTGGACCAAGGAACTCTGATTTACAGCTTTTTATATTTTTCCCTGAAGATCTGCTATCCACACCACAGGAACAAAATACAGTGCACTCTCAGCTGATGACACTCCTTATCAGCTTTCCCACTTGTGTATTTCTTTTACACCTTCACTTCCATCTCTGGATTTCTTTAAGTGACAAAGATCACCAAACAGAATGATTTTGAGGATACTTCCACTTCCTATAGCCCGACTTGATTCTCAAAGAAGGAAATCTATTGCCATTGTCTTTAAGTATGAAAATATATGTTGGCTTGGGATATATAATGACAAAAAACCCCCCAAAAAACCTAGGTGTCTGCTAACCCCTAAAAGGTTTAATATGCATTAGATTTGTTGTTACATTTTCTATTAGTGGTACGTGGGTTTTTTGTGGGTTTGGTTTTTTTCCAAACAAGTTTATTAGAGAACTCATTAAAAAGGCACATAAAATTCAGGAAAACAAATTTATGAAGAACCAGTTTCATTTGGAAAGGACTTATTTTCTATGGAAATAAAAAAACCATCCCATCTAAACAAAATATAAATACATTTCTGGACAGCATATCTATAAAAGCAATCAGACTAATACAAAGCTACTTTTTTCCCTTCTTCATTTCAAAAAGGAATTAATCAAATATCTTGACCAAAGCTTAACCTTTTCTGCTTATTAGTCCCGTCTGCCACATCTACAGGAAATAGATCGCCAAAACAGATGGAGTGAACAGATATTTTTACCTCCCAGTGGCTGAACACCAGCTGTGGACTGGCCAGGCCACTCGTCCTCTTCCTGATTTCATCAGCAAAACCAAAGCTTTCTGCTACTGGCAGGACTGCCTTAATAATAAACACGTCCGTCCCCTCTTTCATCTCCTCTTGTAACACTCTGCCTTCTCTTTTGGACAAGACAGCATACACACGACCTGCAAAGACAGAATTTTGATGAGCTCACCAATATATTTGTATTATGCGTCATGAAGAGAAATACATAAATATTTACTTAGGAAACTTCAGCACTAAGTAAAATACATCATTTCTTTGGCTAAAATTCCCCATAAGTGGATCAATTAAGTGGACCCATTAAATTCAAACAAACAACATATTCTGCCAGAAAAATGTGCAGAACCATGAGTAACATTTAAAGAATTATGACTACTGCATGGATCTATAGAATACTTGCAGTAGCAGCGTTTTATACAATCGTATGGCTATTATTTAAAAGGCAACTTGCCAGTTTATGTGCCTAACTTTTATTTCTTACAACCAAATATGTGAGAAACACTACTAAGAACTACTCCTGTGTTTCAGGAATCGTATCTTAGCTACCTTTACAAGTTTGTTTGGATCACCATATCCCTATATGGTACTTGTCCCAGACACTGCAGTGCTGTTCTAATCACAGAAAACATGTTTATCTGAAATACTACATATTTATTATGTTGAATGTCTTCAATTAGGTTTTTAATTAATTCAGCCTTCAGTTAGTCATGGATAATTTTTATTTTTCTTTCCCAAATTATTGTTCAATCAAATGAAATGCAGCACATATATCACAAAATAGCTGTGAAAATTCCCATGTTCAACTTAACAGTAGGCATTAATTTTTTTAAAAATGTTTCAGCAAACTAATGGGCTAAGTATTCTACAGACAAAATCTAGCAAATATATTTGTGCTGATTGAGATAATAAACACACAAGAAATACTAGGCACTGAAAAAATGTTTTAGGAATGCCTTCATTTACCAGTGTGAATAGCTAATGAATACTAGATGTACAAATTAACTTTAAAAATACCTGGCCCCAAAGAACAAGTTTATAGCAATTTCTAAGAGGTTGAAATATTTTATTTGTTAATTGCACTGAAATAATATTTGTTATTGCACTGAAGAAACATGAATGTGCACTGCTGTCTTTTAAACAGCTGGGCAAAATGGACTCTTAGAGAAATATTTAGAAATGTAGATTAGTCCATAATCCATGCCACCTCTTTTGATTTGACAGAAAGATACCATTAAAAACTAGAGTCACACATGCTGATTTGCATATCTACTGTAAGCCTGTTGTGGGATACCACAGGAAATGCTGGCGTAGGTTTGCCTTTATTTTTTTAAATACAGACTCTGGTCCTTGTTCAGGGAATTCAGCACAAGCACACAGCTAGTACAGTTAAATCTTCCTGTCAGATGCAGGTAATGGAGCATCAGTTCAGCACCAATCATTTCAGGGTTCATCGTTCTCTAATAAAATGTGGGTTGAAGTGTTCTTTCTACCATCACTGATAATTTTATCCGCTCACGCCGCCCTTGCCAGGACCTCCTCACCGTTCCTCTGACTGAACTTCACCTTTACTATGCACAATAGGCTGCTTACTGCTCATGAGGAAATACTTAAGATTCTGTATTTTACAGCACAAAAAGACTAAGGCGTTCTGAAGACAAGTCACTGAGTTTGCCATGCATGTACAGCCTTTCTTAACATAACCAAGCAATTTCGAGCTTATGGAAATTTCAGTGATTCCAGAAAATTCTCACCTCTGAGAGGGTCATAGCACAGCTCGCAATTCAGTAACTACTTTAAAATGCACATTTCAGAAGACCATCACACCACGGTCACTGTACCTATACTGCGTACGGACCACACCATATATATTAAAGCCATTTGTTAAAGCAAGTAAGTTCAAAAGCACTTCATAGGCTATTAATGTTATAATTCAAAATATTTATTTTAATAATTGTTTTACGAAGGACTTCCAAAACTTTGCACACATACTAATGGGATAAGTAAGGTAACATTTATCACAAAGCACTTTAGATGCACATCTTTTATGGCCTTAATTCACTGCAAATTATTCTTTCAAAACATAAAAGTCAGAAGACGATTTATAGCTCACTGGATGGTTTCTAGCTACATGCATTTCACCGAAGCAGCCTGGCGTATTGTCTCCATTAATGCCACCAAAGACGTGATGATCACAAGTTCGCCAGCTGAACTGTACTTTTCACACCGCGGGCTGGCTGCAGGATACTGAAGAAACACTGCTTCCACCTCCACAGTAATTAGTTGAATGGACTTAGCAGCATCAATCACCAAGAAATACTTTAAGATCTTCATACTGAAAATAGTTAAGCATTTCTTTTGGAAATATGATACTACTTCAAAACCAGCTTCACAGAACAGATCTGTGCATAACAGACTCACGTTAAAGATGCATCAAGTCCAGCTCCTTAAACTATTTAAGCCCTGTTCACCACCTAACTGAAGGATACTTCAGTATGTCATGGGAAAACACTAAATAGGACAACAGGACCACCATCAGCTTACAGAACAACGAAGGAGGAGCTGCCCTTCTGGTTTGGATTCTGCTTGTTTTCCCTTACACAGCTGAGCCAGAGAGAATACCACGAATTGATGTGAATTGCCCCCTCAAATGCTGTGACCTAAAATGTTAATAACCTTATTTTTTAAAAAACAAAGACATAAGAATTGCTATCAAAATCCAAACCAAAAGATACAACAGAGTCTGGTAAAGTCCATTCCCAACCAGCTTCCTCAGAACCTAACATCTTCAAAACAAGCAGATAATAGAGAATCATAGAATGGTTTGGGTTGGAAGGGACCTTAAGGATCATCTAGCTCTAACCCCCTGCCATGGGCAGGGACACCTTCCACCTGACCAGGTTGCTCCAAGCCTCATCCAGCCTGGCCTTGGACACTTACAGGGATGGGGCACCCACAGCTTCCCTGGGCAACCTCTCGCAGTGCCTCACCACCCTCTCCAGGAAGAACGTCTGCCTGATGTCCAATCCAAACCTCCCCACTGTCAATTTAACCCGGTTACCCCTTGTCCTGTCACTACAGGCCCTTGTAAAAAGTCCTCCCCAGCTTCCCTGTAGACCCTTCAGGCACTGGAAGGTGCTATAAGGTCTCCCCGGAGCCTTCTCTTCTCCAGGCTGAACAAGCCCAACTCTCTCAGCCTGTCCCCATAGCAGAGGGGCTCCAGCCCTCTGAGCATCTCCGTTGCCTCCTCTGGACTCACTCCAACCAGTCTATATCCTTCTGATGTTGAGGGCTCTATAGTTGGATGCAGCACTCCAGGTGGGGTCTCACAAACTCAACTGGGTATCAATATATGGAAAACCAACTGAAGAGATAAAGTTACAGAAGCCATTTCACACCTGAAAATCTTACTGGATAGCATGCATACTCTTCACTTCCTCTAATGAGGATGCAATTTATTATAGCTTCAACCTCCATAATAAAAATTAAACCCATGTATTTGTAATGAACTAAGTGCATGTCCATGGCTATTACCACACAACTCTCATTCATTAAACTGGACTAATTTGCTTGCATGTCTGAGTCCTAAATTACACTCATTAAAAATGAATAAATATATATACATGCATTAGAAAGCCATGTTTCCATTTGGTTTTATGGCACAACTGATGAGCCAATGCATGTTAATTACGTCACTACAAACAAACATGCTTTTTTGGTAGTGGGCATTTTTGAAACCAGCAATTTATACAGTGTTTTTCTGGCTTGAAAACTGGTGTCTGGCTTACAGCTTGACAGAGAGATTCAGAAGCATTGTGCTGATGTGCTCCGGGAAGAGCAATGTGTAACACTACAAAGTCTCATCTTGATAGGCGTTCTTAGCATGTTAAAAAACAATTGACATGGTTTAAAAATGCAGAAGTTCCATGTCACAGTAAGTTGAAGGTAACGTGTTAATATGCTTACCACAGGACACCTTTTAGCAGGCCTACTAACGAGCACCTCCAGAAAAGGGCAGGATCGTGCACCTGTGCGAAACAACTGCTCACTCAAAGGCATTTATTTTCACTAAATAACAACTGTAAATTTTGCTCTTCGGACCAAGCTGTTTGATATAGCTGCTATCATTACGCTTTGTCCACAACAGCTGAGCTTTTTACAACAAATAACCAAATCTTTAATTATGGTATGTGGGGTATACTCCCAAGTTCTGTCAGCAGTAGTATAGTCGAAGTAAATTTGCCGATAGCTTAAATGCAACGGAAGTTAGTTTCAAAGAAAACCTTGGTGCGTTGGATCAGATTCAGCGTGCAAGCAACTCCCATGGAAAACTCCAAGAAAAAATGTCAGGGTAAGTTAAGAGGTGTTGTAAGTAGGTCATAAAAACAAGTTTAAGTAGGTGTAAGTGGCAAGGTAATACAAGTGACACAAATTAGGTATGCGCTGGGTTTGCCAAGTGAGCAACTTGCATACTGTCATGGTTTAATCTCAGCCAGAAACTAAGTAGGGTTGGATACAGATACAGAAGGATACAGATAGTACTGAAAGAAAAAAAAAAAAAAATCACGTCCCAACTGGACTGTAGCAATAATTTAAGATTCTGTCTTTTTCCTGACTTCTATATTCATTATTGTATTAACCTGAAACATCTTGAAACGGCTTTAACTAAGAATCTGCAACCTGTATTTCACAAACAGCATAGGTTTCCTCACCTCTTCATGGAACTAATGCTTTAATTATGAGGCATGATATTGATATTCATGTTTACTGAAGCTGATATTACAAAAATTATGTTAAATGGCAACATTTTGTTTCTTGCAATCCCCAAAAAGTGCCACGCTGTTATCGATGTGAATGTTTTAGACAAGCAAGAAGAATGGTAAGTTTTCATACACAACAGTATAAATACTACAGATCTACAAATCTACTGGAGAACTATAAAACTTCTGACAAAACTTTTAAAGAAGCGATACTTTCTAATTCAGTCTACTTTATAAAACCCCACCTTGGAACTCAGAAAACAAATTCTTGACAAAGGTTTATTTTGCCTGTCTTACCTAGAACTTCTGCAGTAGCCATGATTTCACACGTGTACATTGCTGCCATAAGCCTCTGTGGTTTTGCTTGCAAAGCGTAACGACAAGCTTCCTTCATGGTGGCAATGAGTTGTCCAGAGAAGGGACCATAGCAATCTGCAAGTAAAACCTCTCCCTTGTGTTTACTAATTCTCTCGGGTGATTTTGGAAGACTCTGACTGCTGTCCTGGTGTTCGTTCACACTGCAAACTTCTTCATCGGTGCAACTGCTTGTTGGAGCAGTATCCTCCCCTTGTTTATCTTCTGAGGCATCACGTTCCCCTGAGTCCTGGCTACTAGTTGACAGCATCTCTCCAGCCTTCATTTCCCATTTTTCCACTGTAAAGCAAACACCCATGAGGGGTTCTTCACACATGGGACCGGAAAGTGTAGCCAGCTGAAACCCACTCACTATGCTGTTGTCAAAGTCTCTGTATCTACTTACTTCTTTCACAGCGTTCCCAAGGCACTGCCACACAGACCTGTTATAGCCCTCAAAATTATATAACAAAATATTAGGCCCACACTTCCGTGGTCCAAATGACCAGATCTGATCAACAGCATTTCTCCACTTTCTTCCCTGCAGATTTTGCTCCAACTTTTGTTTGAACTCCTTGATCCTATCAAGAGTCTTCTGATTTATCTCGTGGGTTTTTTTATCTTCATTCAGAGATGTGTTGAGTTGCTCCATAGTTCGAATTAAGTCACTGTTTTCTTCAAGAAGTCGAGTTACCTCCTCAGGAAGTGGCACTGCTCTTACGCTGAGAGTAGCTTGTTTATTTGGTGTAGATATTGTAACAAGCCCATCTGAATCGACCTGAATTCCTTCAGGAATTTTACTTTGGTCCTCCTTTGTTTGGTGTATGACAGCAACTTTCTGCTGTTTTCCTATTTCTTCATTTACCATATCCACTTTTGGAGGTCTTGTTATTGTCTCTCGGAATGGTATAATAGGTGCTGACACACTGATCTGTACCTTTGCAAACCTATAAAATAAAGTTTAAGAATTAGTTTGAAATTTATAAGATAATTTTAAACTTGGGAGGGGGAGAAAAGATAGGGCAACAGCCCTAACATGGAACGTGTGTTCATGAATAAATCTGATTGCAACACAGATTACTAGATAATAATGCACTTCAAACTCCTAAAAGCATTATGTACTTCAAAAAAGAACCATTGCCTCTTATGTCTTCAAAAAGATCTGGAAAGGAAGTGAAAAATAAAGGAAAAGGCATTGCTGTGCCACTACGTAAATCACCAGTTCACCCACATCTTGGCAACTAGGTGCTGTTGTTATCTCCCCTTCACACGAGAGACAACCGAACTAGGAGAAAATGAGAGTAAGGATGATCAAAGGTATGAAAGCCTTCAAGGATACTACCGAGGTCTACAAAACCAGGAGGAGCGAGGGGAAGGCTCATCGGGGTTAACTGACAAAGCAAACCGCAACAGGCCCTGCACTGAAAACAATTAAGGCCCAGGAAAGCATTACGGTTGCTGCATTTTCACTCTTCCCCTGCTGTAGCCCAGGCGGCTGCAGACGTGGCGCTGAGCAAGACGGACACTTGATTTGAACCAGAACATCTGTTCAGACAGTGAGAGGCTCTGAAAAGATGAAGCACTGGGTGAGCTGAACTGGCTTTTGTAAAGAAGTGTGGAGCTATGGTCCTGTACCATTCGTTACAGAATCACGCCAGATAATTATTTCACGTGTAGACTTGTCATTAGTAGCAGCTTTTCTTTGCTACAAAGCAAAACACAATCCCTCTCCCTCATACAAAGGAGCTTCATATTGTACTGTCGCTGCAATGAAAATTAAGTGGTTGTTTGGGCTTTTTAAATGAAGTTACGTATGCACAGCTTTATACAAAACTAAAACATAAACGAAAGAAATCATGGGAAATAATTAAAATAAATTGACCATTAACTACAGAGAAAAATTAAACCATCAATTCTATACCAGAAAACCCTATTACTGCAGGTCATTAAACATTATTCATTTTGTTAGAAGATTTTCTACTGGAAGATTCTCAAAGAGGACAAAATTTCCTAATGGAAGAAAACGAACAAATTTTTAATGCTGCGGATGAATCTTGTTTTTGGACTACTGACAGAAAGGTAAATTCAATCTTTGCCTTTAAAGGACCACAGAAAACACAAAATAAAATGAGGTATGAGAATGCAGGTGAAGATTCTGATCTTTTTCCATGCCAAAATAAAGGAAAAAAACCATACCAATGCAGTTCAGCCTGTTTAACTAAGAAATTACTTTGGGTCAAAAGTTGAAAGATACAACCTAAGAAGCTTTCTTTTTTCTTTTAACTAGGTTGGGAAATACCAACACATTGAATGCCATTAGGGATGCCATCC